GTTGGCACCGTGGTGACCCGGCTGTCCCTCCGCCGTCTGCTCCCCTCCGCGGGCCGCGCTCAGCCCTGGGGAGCCTGGTTGTTACTTCCCGCCGTTTCCACGGTAACCGCAGCTGCGCGGGGACAGAACACAGCTTCAGCCGTGCGGCCAGGCGCGAGAGTGAGGCACACCCGGGACAGAGTCCTGAGGTCCCGCCACACAGCGACGCCCCCTGGGGCCGGCGCACGCAGGGCCCTGGGCACTGGGCTGTGAAGAGGTTTGTCCAGTGGGAAAGCTTCTTCATTAGGAGGCTGTGCACCAGAGCCCACAAGCAGGCTGGCCGTGCAGATTAGCAGAGGGGAGAATTTTGAAGGCATTAAGAACCTCAGTAAAGCGCCTCTTTGTCCAGTCCAGGCTGGGACACACATTTTGTGGGAAACTGTCTTTTAAAAGTTGAAGAACACATGGTGGTGTACATCTGCAATCCCAGCATTCTGGGAGGCTGAGGCAGGAGGATGGTAAGTTTTAGCCCAGCCTGGGCATTTAGTGACTTAGTGGAATGCTGTCTCAAAAACTTGAAATCTTGGGCCGCTCAGTGGCACCACACCTGCCTCTAAGCACACGGTCCTGAGTTCAATCCCTGGTATCCCAAAAATAAAAATAAAAATAAAAATACAGTAACCCTGAAATTTTGCAATTCCTTTCTGCAGGGTTCTCTAGTCCTCCTAAGAGCTCATTGCTATGTGTTGTATCCATATTTGATGACCAGGTGTTCCTAATTGATCATACACGAGCACAAATAATATCTGTGCTTGACTAAACACTTCGCCATGTTCCAGGGATTATGTTAGGCACTTAGCATAGATTATCCAAGTTAATGTTCACAGTAACCCTCAGAAGTTAATACTGCTCTCTCCTCAGACGAGGACACTGAAGTGTAGAGAAGCCAGATCTTTCTGCGAGGTCCCAGAGGAGGGTGCAGTCCAACTCTGTTTTTCTCCAGAGCCTCCTCAACCACTATGCCATGTCAACGTGTGTGTGAGTGAGAGGTGTTACAATCTGGGGAGAATTTTCCTACTAAAGCAGTGGAACACGCTAATGCCATGGAAGCTAATTTTCAAAACAAGATCAAAGAGCAGAGGCTACAGAGATGATGATAGAAGAGGAAAATTCCATGAGCTGGTGGTGGGATGGCATAGGTCGAAGGACGGATGAGGAAAACAGCTGTTCAAGTGCCACATTGCCTGTTTCATGAAGACAGAAGGCACAATTGGAGGAATGTAGCACAGTGACTAAGCACCAGTACCCCAACTACCTACATCTCCCTGGCACCTGTACTAATCCAGCACACAACAAAAGCATGGGACCCTGTGTCATTAGGAAGCAGAGCCCCACTGAGCTAAATCCCCAGCCCCCCTGTGTCATTAGGAATTTCCCGGTAACAACAGCAGCACATTAAGCCAAGCACAGGGCCCTAGACATGGGGTCCTATCCCTAGTCCACAGACCAATGCATATCCGTATTCTGATGCCTCTCGCCGTGTCTCCAGCCCAAATTTGTCTCTTGAGCTGCCTTTTGCAGCTGATGTTGTCATAAATATTTAACATTTGGCTCTTAGAGAGGAGAAGAGGCCTTCATTGATACATAGCATTTGCTAATTTCTATAATTTATTCCAGTCTGGTATCACTGCAGGTAAGAACTGCACAGCAGCCTGATATCGTGTGTTATTTCAACCACATAGATACTATAGACACAGATTATCTCAAAGGCAGGGATAATAGTAAAATGTAAGATAAGCAGGGACCAGTCTGGAATATTTATTATATTATCTTTGATTTCAGTGTAATGTATTCAACTGTACATCTATATGATTTAATTTTTAATAATGAAGCATCTAAAATTCTGAACATTTAAAAGTTGACTCCCTGAACCAGGTGGCTCCTAGCATACCTGCTCTTGGACAGCTTTTCTCTACCAGCTAGAAGGAGGCCTGGAATCCAAATTCTCTCCTGGTTTCTCAAAACCTCTCTTTTCCTGTGTTCCTCTTCTCCACAGTGGGCTCATCTATTCATTTGCTCAAAGTTGACACCTACACATTTCTCTTCCTCATATATACAACTGTGTCAGCGAAGCAGCCAATGACAACAGTAACAACAAAAATAATCCTATATTTTCAATATTTCTCCCTGTTCCTTTTGCTTGCTAAAGTAGTTTAGGAGATTTTTTTTTCTCTCTCTCAAGCAGAATCCTGACAGTCAGCAAAAAGAGGATTTTAGGAAAGCTCTAAGAAACATCAGTTAAGCCCTGATCATAAAGAACTGAGGTGGAATGAGATTCTCTTGGATGAAAGCTAGAGAATGTGTGAGAGCTCACAGAGTATTTTGTCTCTAAGCTCTTTCCTAAGTGAGTGGAAGGCACTGAGAATAAGAGAAATGGCCAAAGAAAATACTTAAATTGTGCTGCTCATTAGAAATAACAGCACCAAGCACTGGGTGCTTCCTCAAGAGTAAATCTCTAGATGCTTTCTTTTTTTTTTTTTTTTTTTTTGGTACCTGGAATTGAACTTGGGTCCTTGCACTTACAAGGCAGGCCACAGAACTGCTGAGCTAATTTCTATAATTTCTAGATGCTTTCGATTATATTTTCCTGCCCAAATGATTATTTTGATGTAACATTGTGCATAAACCAGACCATCGTGCCCTGAATTTACAAAGGTTCTTCAGCCCGTCACCAAGTTCTGTTGGTTGTACTTCTCAAATGTTGCTTGAATCCATTTGCTTATCTCCAAATTCATCTTCCCCTCACAAAGTCAGGGTGCAATCCCCCAAAAGATCACCCTATCTCAAGTTCTGATTCCCTAGTATCCAATCTCCACAGACAGCCAAGATGAAAGGCTTGTTGAGGAAAAAAAAAAAATGTACTCACCATTTTCTAGTTTAAAACTCTTTCAAGACTGATCATATTTCCTAAGAAGAAATACAGTAGCGTCAGCATTGATTACAAAGTCCTGAACACACTGCCCCCATTGCCTTAATTTCTGTCTTCTCTAGCATTCCCCTCCCCCTGGCTCTCCAAAGTCTAGACTTGACCTGCTCCTTCTTTCAGTTTCCCTTCGGACACTCTTGATAACCCTGCTTGCCCTAGTCACCACTCATTTGGCTCTCTCAGTGGATGCTTGAAGTCCCAATGTCCTTTTCCCTGTCCTGTACCACTCCCCAGATTAGAAGCAACTTCCCATATACTATATAGTTTTGCCAATAATAATTATAAATCTTTGTATATGTTTAACTATAAGTTTTGTATATTTATATGTTTGGTCTTAGTAGAATTATATGTTATGTGCATAAACTCCCTGAGGAATAGGATTGTGTCTATTGTATCATCAATACCTTACCAATGTCCAGCACAGAGGTTGGAACTTAAGTCCCAAATACTTATTTGTGGATGAGTGGAAAATATTGTTTAAAATTAGGAGAAAAACTTTTAACAACTAGAAAATCCTCTTGTATGAAAAATCATAATTTTAGATCAGCAAATAAGAACGTACTTAAAAACCCAAGAGACCCTAAAACTAATTGCTTAGCTTTAGAAAGAAAATAGGAGAGCTGGGGATTTAGCTCAGTGATCCCGCCTCCTGTCTCACAAGCACAAGGACCTGAGTTTGATCCCCAGTACAAGAAAGGAAGGAAAAGGAAGGGAGGGAGGGAGGGAGAGGGACAGAAGAACGTTTCTTGGATATATACATGGATGATAAGACTGTTTCTGATAGGCCCGGAATACCTCTGGTCAAGTTAACTCAGTTGGTAAATTCTTTTTCACATCCACATACTGGGTTACCTGCCTCAGCCAGCTACACTAAAACACCTAGGTTGGCTCAGTGATACAGCACTTGCCTAGCATGCAGAAGACCCTAGATTCTATCCCCAAAACTGTTTAATGGTGGCCGTAAGAGGGACCATCCTCATCTCCTCTACAAACCAAATCATGAAAGTTCTACTTGTTTACCTGTATTTCATTGTAATCGTTTAGATCTACAATGTCCGCCAAAAGTCTCATGTTCAGAGCTGAGGATCTGGGGAGGTGACTGGATCATGGGGACACTGTACTCATTGGAGGTTTAGTCCACTGATGAGTTCAGAGCTAACTCTGTTGTTTGGAAGTAAGGGGTTGTCAGAAGAAGCAAATTACAGGAAGCATGACCTGGAAGTGTTCTGTCCCTGTCTCTTCCTCCTGCTCTTTCTTTTCCTCCTCTTCCTTTCCCTTCCCTTCTTCCCTCCTGCTTGCCTCCCCTTCATCTCTCCTTCCCTCCCCCACCCCCTTCTTCCTAGCTGCCATGGATTGAGCACATACATCCACCATGCCATTCCACAATACTCTCTGCTTTGGAGCCAATCACAGACTAAATACTGTGAAAACCATGAGCAGATCTCTCTTTGTTTAAGTTACAAGTCAGGCATTTAGTAATGGGAAAATGACTAATACATAAAGTTTCTTCTTTCGCTCATTCTTCTCATCCCAACATCATCATAGAGCTTGTTCTATAAATCACCATGTAACTAAGGAGCTAAGAATAATAAAAAAGTAGTTTACTACTTCATTTCCATTTAAAATGTGAAGTACTCACAATCTCCTAAAACAAGAAAGTCTTCAATATAAAGCCATAAATGGATCCTGAAGAAACCCATAAAGTGGATCCCAATGAAATTCACAGCTCTCTTTATCTTTAAATTCTAAATTAACTAATGCCTTATGTCAGTAAGTTGCTATTTTCTTTGAAAAAAATGTAACTTTCTGTTGAGAGATTTGACATGAGTGGAAAAACTTTGCAGTTACCTGGAGAGTGATTTCAAACTCCACACTAAAATGGCAAGTTGAGAGGCAGGGAGAAGGAAAGTTGAGAGAAGGCACAGCACACAGAGAGTTTCTATACCCGATGCACACAAGAAAAATACTGTTTTTCCTGGATCTCCCGCACTGGGGGTGACAATGAAGGTAGGTGTTAAGTCAGGGTGACAGTTACTCTCAAAGGTCAACTGGACTGGATGAAGAGACCCCCGGCAGGGTAGCAAAGCACATATCTAGATGCATCTGCAGGTGTGTTTCCAAACATGCAGGCCAGCACATGAGAGGCAAAGGCCACCCCAATTATGGCAGAACTGTTCCTAGGTTCGCAGGTGGATACCGTGAAAGGGGAAGAGGTAAGAAGCCAGCCTGTGTTCACAAGCTCCGTTCAGCTTCAGGGCATCTTTTGCTGCTGCTGTGCCTCTACAGAGCCCTAACCAATAGTCAATATTTATGCAGCGGGGGGCTGGGGTAAAGAGGGTGTGGGTATGAAGGAAGATGGAAGAAGGGGTGCACCTTGAGTCATGCTGAATGGCCACGGAGATGTGCAGAGCACTGAATTCAAAGTTACAATGGAACGTGTCTGCATATGGTTAGGGGCCAGGGATTTACCTCAGTGGCACCGTGCCTGCCTCACAAGTGCAAGGTTCTGAGTTTGATCCCTGGCACCAAAAACAAAAAACAAACAAACATACGGTTTTCACCTTTGTGAGTCTTTTAAAGAGGATGTATAGACCTCTCTTCCAAACAACATGGTGAGCTAAGTGTCCTGGACCACTCCCAAAATAATAAATACATTTTATTTTCAGGTTTTTTATTAGTACATGTTTGCAGTACATGCAGTTTACAGTCATCTTGGAGATCAGGTACAGCTTGTTTCTCTTCTTTTAATCATCTTAAATGCATTGTCAATGAGAAAGAATGAAAAGAATTCAGAAAAGCTGGAAACCAAGTGACATCAGAAACCCTGGGAGGTAAGCAAGCTCTGAAATCAACTTTAACCCTTCACACCCCTGCCTGTGCCATATCCACTAGGATTTAGTCATTTGAGGAAGCAACAGAAAAATAACAAAAATAGCATTTGGTGAGGAAAAATTAGAACCCAAATACATTAATGCTAAGGATGCAAAATAGTGCAATCTTTTAGGAAGTTTTTGGTTCTTCAAAAAGCGGAAGGCAGTGTATCCTATAACCCAGGAATTCAATGCCTAGCATATACCCAAGATAACTGAAAACATGTTCACAAAAAAATGGGTAAAATGCTCATATAACGTGGAACATGTGGACATAAATTATACATGACTGTTCACAGAACCAATATTTACAATGGCAAAAATGCGGAAACAACCCAAATGTCTATCGACTGATGAATGCTTATGCCGCAAATGTGTGTTCACAGTACAGAATATTATTCAGTCGTAAAGAATGAAATGTAGCTATGTCCTACAACATGAATAAGCTTTGAAAACATTATGCTAAATAAAGGAAGCCACACACAAAAGGTCACATATTGAGTACCCAGATCTATACAAAGAAAACCAGTGGTTAGCAGAAAAGAAAGGAGAAATGGGAAGGGATAGGATTTCTTTTAAGGTTGATGGATATTTTCTAGAATTACTGTTGATTGTGTAATGACTAAAAATTTCACTACAATGGACATTTTAAAATTGTGAATTTTGTTTATGTAATTTTTGTCTCCAAAATTAAAGACACCAAAACAATAGGATATAAAAATATATATCAAGATATGACACACAAGTGCTAACCAAGAAAAATTCTAGGATTCCTACATTAACAGAGAATTTAAGGCAAAAACAGATCATTAGCAGAAGACAGGCTCTTTTTCTAATGCTACAAATTTAATTCATTAGGAAGACACTATAATTTTACATTAATGTTCATCTAATACTCATAGACTTGTAATAAAACATTGACAAAACTACAAAGACAAGTGAAGAACCCCACAATCAAAACAGTGATTTTTAACACTTTTCCCAAAAGTTGACAGAAGCAGTAGAAGAAAGACTATAGTGAACATCTTAACAATGTTAGTAGATAACATCATGTAAACTCTTCCAGTAAGAGGGTTGGCAGAAACTATTTTAGACTTTGTAAGCCATATGATTGCTACTACAGTAGCACAAAACAAGAGGATAGCAATAAATAAATTGTCATGATCTTATATCAATAAAACTTTATTTAGAAAAGGAGAAAATGGGCCACATTTGGCCCACAAACCATTACTTGCCAACTTCTGATAATAGAAAGATAAGGGAAAAGACTTTAATATTAGAAAGTTGGAAAAAATACCAAAAAACTCCCAAGGAAATAGAAGGAAGCATAATTTTTTTAAAGAAGCAGAAAGTATGAAATAGTTTTTTTTAAAAAGTATATCATAGGGTTACATGGTCATTATCTGTATAGCTGCACTTACCATCTGTGGAACTTTAATCTCAAGCATTTCACCCCAGATTCCTTAGGCTTATAACCCCATCCCCAAACCTTAAAAACCTTAAAAAAATTTAACTTCATCACCAGTCAATCACAGCCTGCCTGCACCCAGGCTCAGGTATGCCTGTGGTGAACAGAGAAGTCCCCACCACTCTTATTCTGTCATTGCTTAGTAACGTAGAATCTGGAATTCCCTGGAAATAAGGGAGCTGTGGGCTTCCCAGCACCCTTTCTTTGGTCATGCCTCTGCACCTGGGCTGAGATTTCCCTGCAGCCCTCCTCCCTGTGGGATGAGGCTAGAAACCCTGAAAACCATATGCCCAGAGGTCCCATTAGAGTGCTTGGTGACTTGGGACATGACTGTGCCCAAGAGGGATCAATGGAAGATCCCCACAGCTGAAGGCCTATGAAACAGTCACACACGGGGTCCTGCACAAGAGGTGACATCTGAGTGAATGCAACAAGCCAAACATGGGTGGGTTGAGTGTAAAACCCTACTTCTCACATCTAGGGAAGTTCTCAGAGAAAAGATTTTGCTATGCAATATAAATAAAGATATAAATACTGCTATATTCTCTGCATGGAAGGCCCAAGTGCCATGTTTTTGTACAACTAAGTCTTTCTTGTCATTCATCTTGGCTAAACAGTTATTGACCTCATCAGAAAGGCCCTCCTTGTCACCCCAGGTAGACCAGCTTCTGGTCACTCTCACACAGCACCCTATTAAGTGTCCTGCTCATAGCATTGGTTGCTTTCTGGAATGTCCAGGAAAGTGAGATATTTTCGATTTTGTTACTGCTTTATCTAAAGTGCTTAGAACAGTGCCTGACACGTGGTTGGTGCTCCATGAATAATGAACATTGTGGAGGGGGAAGGAGAGAGATGAGAAGGGAGAGGACAGAAGTGCAAGAAGAATACGAAGAAAGAAATGGAGGGTCCTAACTTGAGTCCCACCTATACATATTTTATTGACTCACACACATCTGAGCATGGCTGACAGTTTCTAGGTGGCCCTAAAAGGAATTTGTTTTTATGACAAACCAAGGTATCTCCTGAAAAAGAAAAGAAAAATAACTCATCCTGGGTGAGAGGGAGAAAGAAAAATAAACTTGGCCTTGGGAGGACAATCTTAAATGTAGCATCATACCTACCAACTGAATTCATGGAGAATTGGCCACGGCTAGAAGTAAATTTTGAAATAAACTCTAGAAAGCAGAGGGCACAAGCAGCCCTTCTTTGGTACTTCAGTAAAATGTACTCTGGAGAGGGGAGGGGAAGGCAGGAGGGACTTTGCTTCAGGGAGCCATGTCACCTTGGCAGTGTCCCCTGGGCCCAGAGAACTCCAGCATAGTACCATGGCAGTGGCGCCTGGTAGAAGACACTACGACCCACAGAGGGAATGGTGCCCAGGTGCCAGCACCTGGCTTTATGAGCAATTGAGGCCTCCGAAGTTAATAACACCAAAAGTAGCTTGACCCAGAACAGGGAGCCACATAAAACCTGTGCAGACTGTGGAGTTCATTCCCTGAGACTCAAGAGCAATCACTGGGGACCATAGGGGTGGTATGGGATTCAGGTGTATTTTTCATGTAAAAGTGAGAGCCTGGAAAGCTGTGCTTCTTAATTTTGACCTGTTTTAGCCCTGGCCTGAAATATATAGGAGTATGAGACATAAGAGTGAAAGAAAAGGTAGATGCTAAAAAATCAATGGTCCCTAGTTAGGCTGACAAACAGAAGTTAGAAATGATTTTAAATATCAGTGTAGGTTTTGTATAATGCGATGCTCTCTGCACTGAAGAGTTTCACCCTGAATGCTGAGAGCCAGCCGCACATCTGCTTTATGATCCCCTTCTTCACAAACATGCCACTGTGGAGGTTCCACTCTGAGGGATCTGATTAATGAGATTCTTTGACCAATAAGGCCACTTGTCAACTACAGAAATCCTCAGAGGGATTCATCAATGCCCGAACCTTCTGGAGGCATTTAACTAGCCACCTGGAGGATTCTCTTGTCTCCAGACAATTATTTCACAGCAGGAAGAAAAACTTGCCTGAGGTTTCAACCATGGTCAAATTCACTGGAGTTGATAAACATGTCAGATGGATCATGTAGCTGCCACAGGCCAGTTAGGAACAGAACTTTATCCTGGAAGGATTCTTTTCTTCCAGATAAGATGTAGATGTGACCAAAAAGTATAGATGCTAGATGCCAAAGGTCTTTTTCCAGGCCTTTCTCTAGAATCTGACCTCTGAAACCGACTTGCTCAATATTTATTGGTAATAATATAATTCACTACAAGAGAAATTAATAAAAATACTGACTAGAGATACATAATTATTTTTAAATGCATACACATTGCAAACACACCCACTGAGTTACTTCAGTCTCCCAACTTAGTAAAGATTTACAACTTTCACAGGGATGGCCTCAAAATTGAGTTTAAGGTTTCTTCACTCAAAATGTCACTACACTTCAAAAAAGATTGCCTGGTTTTTATTTATATATAGTAGATATTTGTGACCTAATTGTGAATCTTGGCTCTGCACTTAATAGCTCAATCACTGTGGGTCTGTTCTGTTTTTAACTTTTCAAGAATCATTTTCCTGGGCTATTAAAATAAGCAAGAAAACCCACCCACATGGGAATAAAAAAAGACGAAGACACAGTATCTAGACAGGTCCATGGCACATAGTATAAGCCAGATAAATATTACCACTTATTTTTTAAGATAGATTTCTTCTTCCCTTGTTCAGATGAGAGTGGTAAATTCTGGATATTACCTCTACAGAAATCCACCAGGATGAGCAGAACACAATGAGTAGGGTGGAAACCCTGCCCCAAGTTTCATATGGAAGCCAGTAGCCTCACTACCTGATAGGGGTGTGGTGGGGTCAGATCTTCTCGCTTCCCTCTGCCCTATGTGTTCCTGGTCATTCCTGGATTTTTGTGTGTCACCTCTATGACCCTTCTTTACAAGCTGCATTCAAGCAACTGGGGCAGAGCTAGAGGAGAACAGAGGGCCTGAGGATTTATCTCCCCACCCCAACTCTCCAGTTCCCACTCTGTTCACCACTGTCTCCTACGACGTGACTGACCAGTGCCACAGGAAGTCCAGTGCTCTGGCTTTAAGTCAGGCACATTCCTGAGGCATTATTTACACTACAAGGCTCCCTGTGGAATCAAGCTGAAGCTGCCTTCACTCAAAGGGACATTGCCTGACATCCCACTTTTTTGACCTCTTACTTGATGACCCTGGGAGCAGTTTTGCTTCCTTGACAGTGCACAAATCCTTGCCTCAGGCCTCTTCTGAGGAAATCCATTTAAGGCCCCTCCCATAGGGAGAATTACTCTGAGAAAAGTCCCCTCATTCCTCCTTCCAGCTCTCCTATAGACACATAACGCCAGCCCAGAGCTCTCTCCCACCCTCATGGAAGCATGGATCCTTCAGAAAAGCCGTCTGCCTTTCGGATTCTACACAGGATTGGTCATACCCGCAAAGACTTCATTTTAACTTACTATCTCTCTAAAGACTCCATATCCAAATTCGGTCACATTCTAAGGCTCTTGAAGGTTAGGATTTCAACATAAGAGTGCTGGGAAACATAAGTCAGCCTTTCATTTGAATTTCCAGAAATACTGGCTCTAGCTAATCACCACCCCCTTTATTTTACACATTGTTCTAAGAAGTATCCCTAGTTTGCATTTATTAGTTATACCCATTAGCTTCTTTCTGCAAAGGTACATGGACCAAAAGGTTCTAGAGTGGACTGCAGGTGAGTTTAAAGCTGATGATGAATGAAGAAACACAACCATTAAACATCTATAGGACCCTCTCAGTGAGAGTCCTGAGAGAATGTGCAGGATTCAAGATCACAATTCTCTTCACGCTTGGATATGGCTCAGTACATCTATTGGCCACATACATAATTTGCATGAAAGATCCACCAACTTTTTATTTCTTCAGTACTGGGCCCTGAATACAGCTATTTTTTATTTTTTATTTTGAGACAGGAACTCAAAAAACTATTACATTCCCAAGGCTGGGCTCAAACTTGTGATCCTTCTGCCTCAGGGTTCCAGAGTGCTATTATTTACATCTAAATACTGGAAACTGAAAGGTGAAGTACTAAACTACTGTTACAAACATCAAGACTCCTGTGAGAATTGATCAGTTTTAATGAGTGAGGAGCAGACCAGAGTGGCTGTGCCTTCTTTTTCCTTTGCTTTATTGAGGTATAATACACAAATAAAAACATCTACATTGTGAAATGATTACCAGTTAAATTAGTTACACACCCAACACTTCACAGTTTTGTGTGTGTGTGTGTGGTTTGTTGCATGTGTAGTGAGAATACTTAAGGTCTACTGTATTGGCAAATTTCAAAAATATCGTACAGTAGAGTCACTGTGCTTCACTGTAGATTCCCTGGACATACTCATCTTCTGAAAAACCCAGATGCAGAAAATCATGAGTTGTTTAATGACAGTGATACACTGTATCATGAGGCTGTTTTATCTTTATGTGAACATCAGAAAGCACCTTTAAACTTAGACTTACACACAGATAGATGGATCCTAGATTACAAACCTATACTGCATGTTACTGTACTCAATACTGTAGGCAATTGTAATACAGAAATAAGTACTATGTGTGTACCTAAACACAGAAAAAAGGTACAGTAAAAAATACTAGGCAAAGTCACTCCACTGTAATCCTATGGGACCATCATTGTGTTTGGTCGCTGACCAAACCACCATTATGCAGTGAGTGGCTATATTCACGTGTGGCATCTAAGACAAAGACTGACTTTTCAACTGATCTCTACCTCCGTGAGAGGGCTGAGGGGCTGCTAGGCTGAATGTCTATGTCTGCAGGAGGGCTGGGAACAGGAGCAATACTGAAACTTTTCTCTGTGTAATTCCACTTGTGGCACAATTTAGTCTTTTTTACAGAATTTACTGTGATATTTGGATTCCTTGAACAGGAAGGTTGTTTACACAAAGTAATTACTCCTTCATGGGGATTTAACTGTCCAAATACAGCAATGAACTTTCACAAAACTAGGCAACCTAAGCTCAAAATCATTTCAGCATTTCACACAACTCTCTTCTCTTCACTTAGAGTTAAATTATTTTTGTCCATCTCATCAGAAGCAAGAGTCTGTTAGGAATTCATAAAACTGTTACTCATTTTTTTCTGCTTGACCCTACAAACTCCAGAAAATACATCAGGGATTGCTTCACTACATCAGATTAAGTTGTGTTTTTCTGCCTTTCAGCTCTTATTTATATAAATAATCATTAAGTAAGCAGATATAAATACCTCATCTACACAAGTCAGAAGCAGTATTCAAAAAAATAAATAAAGCCAAAGCATACTAAGCAGTCAGTGCCTTTTCCCCCCTAAAGAATTTCAGGTATTCTAGGTCTATGATTTGGCTTGCTGCCTATCCAACTTGTAATCAGATTTCACTAAAGAGAAAATTATAGTAGTTCATACTTGAAGTCATTGGGTTTTTGTCATTGTTGATAAACTAGGCTGGACATTTGTTTCATTTGTTTTAAGGTAAAATTTCTTAAATCACAGTGAATTATAATAAATAGAAAACTACCTCCTGCTGGGAACAATGAAGAGAGAAGTTAACCATTACAAATAACAGTTTTGCAGGAAATTATGTTACTGATACAGAAGTTATTGGTTAACTGAAGTCCCAGTTCCTGGCATTAATGCAAAGGAGTACTTTAATGAACTCTGTTGCTTTGATGTCAAAGTTTTAAATTTTATAACAATTAATGAAACCATGACTTGCATATGAAGTAATACTATAAAGGCTAAACACTCCCATATTTCCTACTTACATACATCGATTTCTAACTTAATTATACAGTAAGTATAGAAGTTTCCATGATTGCACAAGACAGCATTTTTCAACTCTTCTATTTTATAACCTATTTGATCATTTCCAGAGATGGCAAGACCTTACTAAGTAGATTTGAAAAGAGCATATTTTAAAGCATCTCTATGAATAAATGAAAAGGTTTTAAAAATATTTAAGTTAAAATTCAGCAAAACTTTTATCTAGTAAGAACTTAACACACCCTGATACCCACCTGACTTTTAACCATTATTAACTCAACTTAGAGACAAATGACAAAACAAGTTAATATCAGGAATTCAATCTAGAAACAAAAGAGAGAGGAAGAAACAAATTACCATATTTCATTTCTTCTGAGTTGTGCATTTGCATCTTTCAATCTTTAAAAATCAGGCTGTGCCTTGCAATCACTGAAGTCTTAAGAATTAATTGTCTTGATTAGGTGGTGGTCCACAGTCACACTGCTAACAAGTGACTGTCCCCACGTTACTTGTGTGTATAATTACACTTTACATGTTAAGTTTAACTGCCTTCTTAGAATGTGTGTGTGTGTGTGTGTGTGTGTGTGTGTGTGTGTGTGCCGGGGATCGAACACAGGTCCTTGCGCTTAAGAGGCAGGCGGTGGAACCACTGAGCTAAATCCCCCGCCCAGAAATTTTTAACTGATACCTAGTGTATATATTTATGGGGTACAATAGAATCAATACATGTATAAAGGCATAATGATCAGGGTTAGTGGTACATGTTACCTGTTTTCATTACTTTATGCTGAAAACATTCAAATTCCTCTCTACTGCTTTTTGAAATACACAGTTGTCAATAACAATTATCCTGCTGTGCTAAACACTGTTTTTCTTCCTGTCTCATTGCATTCCTGTACTCATTAACTCATTAACTTTTTAAGTGAGTTTTTAAAGATTACATCATGATTTCGCATTGAAAAAAGTTTTTGTTAACTGTTATTTGCTTAAATATTCCCTTTAGTATACAAGAATGTTATAGGGTATAAGTCTATCTCTAAATAAATCTAGAGTGCTTGCAGTAAAGTTTTTAATATCTATGTGATTAAAAACATCATCAAGCATATTGCAATTATTTTATTTTTTAAAGATATATGGGCTAGGGATATAGCTCAAAGGCACAGTGTCTGCCTG